TAGTAGAGACGGGGTTTCACCATGTTGACCAGGATGGTCTCGATCTCTTGACCTCGTGATCCACCCGCCTCGGCCTCCCAAAGTGCTGGGATTACCGGCTTGAGCCCCCGCGCCCGGCTCCTTTTTTTTTTTTTTTTGAGACAGTCTCGCTCTGTTGCTGAGGCTGGAGTACAGTGGCGCGATCTCAGCTCACTGCAACCTCCGCCTCACGGGTTCAAGCGATTCCCCTGCCTCAGACTCCTCAGTAGCTGGGACTACAGGTGCCCACCACCATGCCCAGCTAATTTTTGTAATTTTAGTAGAGATGGGGTTTCACCATGATGGCCAGGCTGGTCTCTAACTCCTGACCTCAGGTGATCCACTCGCCTTGGCCTACCAAAGTGATGGGTTTACAGGCGTGAGCCACTGTGCCTGGTGCCCAAAGGAACTTTCTACACACACACATCCCTTTTTCTCCCTCCTTCCCTCAACCCTTAAAGGAAGTATCATTTCTCAATTTACAGATAAGGAAATAAAATGGCAAAGCTGAGGTTCATTCCCTGGCATGGACCTGGTTCCGAATCCAGTTTTCTTCCCCAGCATCGTAATATTGGCTGCCTGAAAATGTCTTCACAAACGCAGTGTCCTGGGATCAGGCTGGTCAAGCACAGCCTAACAAGGTACCACCTCTCTCAGGTAAGAATGTCTCCTCCTCTCCAAAAAACATCCTGTGGTAGAGGCCCACAAAACCTTGGCATCAGCAGCAGTTAATGATCTATGTCTGAAAAATTTCACCAAAGCCAATAAACTATCTGAAGCATGAAGGGACTGCCTTTATCGTGTCCAGGACATGGTGAGGATATGTTGTATAGCCTTAGTTTCCTAACCTGCCTGCACATCAGAATAGATAGATTCTTAAATGAAAACAGGCTGGGCGCGGTGGCTCACACCTATAATCCCAGCACTTTGGGAGGCCGAGGCGGGTGGATCACGAGGTCAACAGATCGAGACCATCCTGGTCAACATGGTGAAACCCCCTGTCTCTACTAAAAATACAAAACATTAGCTGGGCGTGGTGGCGCGTGCCTGTAATCTCAGCTACTCAGGAGGCTAAGGCAGGAGAATTGCTTGAACCCAGGAGGCGGAGGTTGCGTTGAGCTGAGATCGCGCCATTGCACTCCAGCCTGGGTAACAAGAGCGAAACTCCGTCTCAAAAAAAAAAGAAAATATGTAGGCCAGGCGTGGTAGCTCACGCCTGTAATCCCAGCACTTTGGGAGGCCGAGGTGGGTGAATCACCTGAGGTCAGGAGTTTGAAACCAGCCTGGCCAACATGGTAAAACACCGCCTCTACTAAAAATACAAAAATTAGGCCGGGTGCAGTGGCTCCCGCCTGTAATCCCAGCACTTTGGAAGGCCAAGGTGGGCAGATTGTGAGGTCAGGAGCTCGAGACCAGCCTGGCCAAGATGGTGAAACCCCGACTCTACTAAAAATACAAAAATTAGCCACGCATGGTAGTGGGCGCCTGTAATCTCTGCCACTTGGGAGACTGAGGCAGGAGAATTGCTTGCACCTGGGAGGCGGAGGTTGCAGCGAGCCACGATTGTGCCACTGCACTCCAGCCTGGCTGACAGAGCAAGAATATCTCAAAAAAAGAAAAAAAGGCTGGTTGGGATAGCTCAGGCCTATAATCCCAGCACTTTGGGAGGCTGAGGTGGGTGGATCACCTGAGGTTGGGAGTTTGAGACCAGCCTGACCAAGATGGAGGAACCCCATTGCAAAGCCCCAGTTTCTGGTTCTGTTCAATGGGAACTGAAAAAATAACCACCACCCACCTTCTTTCTCTGTCAAGAAGGTGTCAAGTAAGCTAGTGTTTGGGAATGGCCTAGGAAAAGCCAAAGTGCTTTACAAAAAGAGATGTTTGGCCAAGTGCAGTGGCTCACACCTGTAATCCCAGCACTTTGGGAGGCCAAGTCAGATGGATCACTAGAGGCCAGGAGTTCGAGACCAACCTAGCCAACATGGGGAAACACTGTCTCTACTAAAAATACAAAAAATTAGCCAGGCGTGGTGATACACACTTGTAATCCCAGCTGCTCCAGAGTCTGAGGCAGAATTGCTTGAACCCAGGTGGCAGAGGCTGTAGTGAGCTGAGATCATGCCACTGCACTCCAGCCTGGGCCGAGTAGGACACTGTCTCTCTCTCTTTTTTTTTTTTTTTTAAGTTCAAACTCATTTCCCTTTTATTAAAGTACAGGTTACCATTACATGGCTTGGTACTCAATAAAGGAAAACTTATTCAAATAAGGTAATATGTTTTCATCAGTATTTCCAGGTGACTACACTCAAGTAGCAATATCAATAAATCCTCAGTAAATCCTTGGGAAGCCCATCCATGGGGTTTACACTTTGTCAAGGCCCAGTTACTCTGGAGTGGAGATTCCCAGTTTATTTAAATTTGGTCTAAGTTCCTGGATGACACAGGGGTAGATTTCCTTATGAGGTCCTGCTTTGTCCTTAACAGCCTCTAGGATGCGAACTGTAGCAGCAAAATCATTTAACGGTCTGCGTGCCCGCAAAGCAGCATCAATGATTTTGGGCTCTGAGGACCCTGTCTCAAAAAAAAAAAAAAAAAAAGAAAAGAAAAGAAAAAAAGCAGCTGTTCACCTGTCACCGATTCTTTACATTGTGTTGCTGTTCCGTATTAAAATTTAGACCAATAATTAAACTCCAATTCTTTTACAGCAATAAGAGTCAGGCAAAAGTCACTCTTTTTTTTATTTTTATTTTTGAGACAGAGTATCACTCTTGTTGCCCAGGCTGGAGTGCAATGGCACCATCTCAGCTCACTGCAACCTCCACCTCCTGGGTTTAAGCGATTCTCCTGTCTCAGCCTCCCAAGTAGCTGGGATTACAGGCATGCACCACCACACCCGGCTAATTTTTCATATTTTTAGTAAAGACAGGGTTTCACCATGTTGGTCAGGCCAGTCTCCAACTCCTGACATCAAGTGATCCGCCCGCCTTGGCCTCCCAAAGTGTTGGGATTACAGGCATGGGCCACCATACCCGGCCCAAAAGTCACCCTTTCTCGCAAAATGATGCCAAGTATATTTAATTGGTGAAGAACTAACTTGGTTGTGGAGATGTCAAACTGCCTAAGTGAGTACAGTACATAATACAAATTACAATCTGGAGTGGAAATATGCAAACAGTGCTATTAATGACTAAGTAACATATTAATGACTAATCTCAATCATATTTCATTGAGTCCAGTATAACTGCTTAGAAAAATTTTATTGGCAGTTAAAATTATGTTTCAACATATGTATACAACTATATATCATTGATATAAATTAACAAAGGTTCTTTTCTTTTAACGTTTTTCAAATTAGTTTGTAAACACCCCAACTCATCTTTTTTTTTTTTTTTTTTTTTT